AATTGCCGTCAGTCATTGCAATTCGCTGTCTCTGTTGCCGATTTTCCATTTTTTGTGACTTCTAACCTCAAACATCCAAGCAACTTTTCAACGCCTCGTACATACTTGGTGGTATGTAGGTATCGTCAATAAACGAGAAATCACTTCAGAGTAAAGTATTCCAACACAAATAGTACAGTCTTTAATAATGATATGAATATTAGTGCAAAAACATACCAAGTCTTCAATGATGATATGAATATTAGTGCAAAGACATAACAAGTCTTCAATGATAATATGAATATTAGTGCAAAGACATAACAAGTCTTCAATGATGATATGAATATTAGTACAAAGACATAACAAGTCTTCAATGATGATATGAATATTAGTGCAAAGACATAACAAGTCTTCAATGATGATATGAATATTAGTACAAAGACATAACAATTCTTCAATGATGATATGAATATTAGTGCAAAGACATAACAATTCTTCAATGATGATATGAATATTAGTGGAAAGACATAACAAGTCTTCAATGATGATATGAATATTAGTGCAAAGACATAACAAGTCTCCAATGATGATATGAATATTAGTGCCAACATATAAGTCTTCAATGATGACATAAATATTAGTGCAAACACATAACAAGTCTTCGGTGATGATATGAATATTAATGCAAACACATAACAAGACTTCGGTGATGATATGAATATTAGTGCAAAGACATAACAAGTCTTCAATGATGATATGGATATTAGTGCAAAGACATAACAAGTCTTCAATGATGATATGAATATTAGTGGAAAGACATAACAAGTCTTCAATGATGAAATGAATATTAGTGCAAAGACATAACAAGTCTCCAATGATGATATGAATATTAGTGCCAACATATAAGTCTTCAATGATGACATAAATATTAGTGCAAACACATAACAAGTCTTCGGTGATGATATGAATATTAATGCAAACACATAACAAGACTTCGGTGATGATATGAATATTAGTGCCAACATATAAGTCTTCAATGATGATATGAATATTAGTGCCAACATATAAGTCTTCAATGATGATATG